ATACACACACACACTCTGTTATGCTAAAACACCAAATTCCAGAGGAGAGGGAAGAGTTTTGTGGAAATTGATATTAGTCAAACACATCTCTGTCTCACAATCCAAATTTTGGTAAATTCAAACACCAAGACAGGTTAGTAGCAATGTTCTTTACCAACATCTGACCACTTTACCCAATTTAGATACCTCCAACCCCTTCCTCTCTAATAACCACAGTGTTTTCTGTATCTGCATTTGGTCTGGTTTGTTTGTTTCTTTTATTGCACATGAAAGAAATCATACAATTGTTTCTTTCTCTTTCTGACTTATTTACTTAGCAGAATTTGCTCAAGTGCCAGCCATGTCGTTACAAATGGGAAGACCTAATCTTGTATTCCACTGTGTGTAGATGCCACATTTTTCTTGCCCACACATCTGCTTTTGGGCACTCAGTTTCTTGAAAAATCTTGATATTTCCAAGCCTAAATCCACTTTTCAATAAATATTGAAGACTTTTCTCATCTGTTGAATATACCATAAAATTATTTTAAAGTTTTCATGCTTTTCTTCCTTGTGGTACCATCATATATATATTTAAGCTTTTCAATATTGCTAGACACAAGATTTTTCCTAGAATCTGGCAATTCACATAATGCTGCAGTAAAAAAGCTAAGTGTGTAGTAGCTTTTACACATGTATTATTTTCTTAAGCTAAATCTCTAAAGGTATAATTATTAAATCAAAATGCACAACCATTTGTAAGACAAAATATATTTGCCTAACTTATTTTGTGTGGTAGTCTATTAAGTAACATTAATAGAGATTTATCACAAAAAAAACTTATTCCCTTTTAATTTTTATTATATATATATATTTTTTTACATTATTCTTCATTTTGTACATTTGTTTCATCTCTGTTGTAGTCCCTGTGGACTTCCCACCACCACTGCACCCATGGGCCACCACCATAGTCCCGAGTGCTCCTCTTACCCCCAGTTTTGCTCCTGTTCCCCTCTACTTCCTCCTAAAATGTCTCTGGTTTATAGTTGTTAGTTGATGTTCGCTTTTACTTTATTACAATCACGCTATATAATTTTTTTTCCGATTCCTCTACACTCAGGCCCTTTTGCAACTTGCTTTGTGTGGTGGTGCCATCTTGTGGCAATAGTGCAATATTACAACATCAAGCAAAAAAGATCCCTTGCAAACTGCAGTTAAGCAAATTTAAATTCACAAAGTGGCAGAAAATATCACCAGTTTTGTGTGTTTTCAAAAATCATTCTCACTACTTGTATTTCTAAAAATTCTCAAAAATCATGTACAGTGCTAACTTCTTAACATAAATAATGAATTGTTAATAAAGAGAACTTGAAACCTGTTTAAACACTTCAACATTTCAACTTACTCAAATTAAGTTTATATAAAATTTAAATTATAAGTGAAGTTACTTTAGCTGACTCTTTTTAACACCTCAACTTAATGAATAAGACAGTTGGAAGATGTGTTACTATTATGGCACGTAAGCCTGCATGTACTCCTCTAAACACGTCCTCTCCTGTAATCACATCTCCACGTCTTTTGAGACTTTCCTGACTTTGCAGTGATCTCCCTAGACCAAAAGGAAAATAATGGTGGCAATGACTTATCAAAATGCACTTTTAGTCAGGTTTGTCACTTGTTTGTTTTTCGTACTAATCTAATTCAAGTTGCAGAGCATTAACTCTGTTACAGAGTTTGACTTCATTTCTTATAAAAATAGATTTTATTTTTGAAGTGCAATTGTTTTAAGACATTTTATAACTTTCACGTGAAGTCTTACAAAGCAACAGATGGCATTGTGTTCACCACCAAAAATTAGTTTTTGCCAACACCATCCCTTTGGGCCTTTTTACCTAATGAGCCCCTTTTCAATTCTGAATCCCACTATATTTTTAGTCTATACATTTGTTTCGCTTTCATTTTGTTTGTCCATTTGTTTCTTTAACATCCATTGTGTGAGTAAAATCATATGGTTCTCAGCCTCACTTGCTTGACCCTCTAAGATCCAGCCATGTTACTGTAAATGACAAGATTTCATCCTTTGTATCACTAGGCACAATTCCTTTAGCACATACACAACATTTTCCAAAACCTAGGGTGTTTCCAACTCTTGGCCATTATCAGTAATGCTGTGATGAACATGATAATGCAGGTATCTCTTCAAATTAGTGTTTTCATATTCTTCAAATAAACACCCAGAAGTAGAATATCTGGATCAAAAGGCAGTTCTACTTTTAATTTTTCTGAGCAATTTTCACACTGTTTCCCATAATGGCCACATTACTTCACACACCCACCAATACGATATGAGGGTGGCCTCTCTGTCCTACCCAAAACTTGTTATTGCTCAAAAAATAGGACACTTTAAATTCTCACCTCTCACGTAAGTTTTTGCTTTTTCACTAACCTAAAATCTCCACTATAAATGACAAATATTTCAAGTCTTGTTTAGTCAACCTCCATTGTTATCCAATCGTTGGTACGACTCTAACATATGTGTTTATAGTAATATTTAGGATGATTAAATAATTAGGACAGTTTTTAAATTCCCTATACTGAAAGACGTTGTGCAATGAACATCCTTCTACAACCTTTCCTGATCATCATTTTAAACCATGGTACTCAGCCCTCTTTTCTCCTTTCAACTTTGCTAGTGCCTATGATCCTCCTGGTTTTGATTCTGCTTTTTCTGGATTATTGGACTTATAACTCCTGATATTCTCCTTTCTTATACAATTAAAACAAATATTTCTGTGCACTTGGAAACACATGTATATTTTAGAGGAGGGAGCAATCATTTAGATATGTCAACATAATTTAGTAAAATTATTAAACTTGAAATATACTTTTAAAATATAATTAATTGTATTCCAACTTTCAATTTACAAATGCCTATTGTTGATAGTGTTTTAACTTTTAAATATCACTGTGAACAGATAGCCTTCTAAATTTATTATTAATTCTCAAAGTACCACAACATGTCCAAAAAAACAGATCCTTCAAGCTATATTTTCTCTGAAATGCTCCCTTATTTGATGACAAGAATATTCCTAGTTCAAACTTAACTTTTCCCTCCTTAAGATATGAAGTCAGCTAAATTCCAGAGTCCTGGTTCTTTCCTCCACTAAAAGCTTTTAGACTTCCTTTTGAAACTAAGGTGAAATTTTCTCCTTACCCAGTTTCTGAACATTACTCCACCTTCATTTCCTGTCACCCAACCTCTACCCAAAACCTTCCGTCACACTGACCTCCTTTCAGATGTTAAATGAACCCACAAATAGACATGTGGTCAGGATTCCTATTTTTAAGTCTAACAGAAGAACCACAGTAATAAACAACAACAAACATGCGGTATCTTTTTGGTGTTACCAGCACCTAGCAAAGTACTGGAACATGGTTAAACTCAGTAAAAAAAAAAAATCTGCAATTAAATTAAAGAGCATAATGAGGTGACAAACAAGATGAAACAAATGATATGTGTGTGTGTGAGTGTGAGTGTGTGTGTGTGTATGAATACACACACATATACATATACCATATCCACTTAAGTTCAGTTAAGTGGATATGGTATATGGTATATGGTATATGTATATCCACTTAAGTTCAGTAAGTGAGTTATCAACCAGGCGACAAACTCTGGCTAAAAATCTGTTTTGATAACCTATTTCGTAAATTATTTGCTTTTTGATCTAGAAAGATTATTCTTCCTAAACCAGGCAAACATAAAAAGATGTGACTCCACACACACACACACACATTATTTGAAGTGACAGAAGTGTGCTGTGGAGCAGTCTCTGACTTCAAGGCCATATCTGCACTTAATCTTTACATGTATAAATATGTGTCAGTAAAAGTTACTTCCTACAATATCCGTGAATAGCAGAATTTCGACATCTGATGAATCATTACAGTAGAATAATATGGTTCCTGTTAGTTCTAAGCCCCACTTCCAAGTCACTTGCAACAAATATCAGCATGTGCTTTTAGTTTCTTATATTTTAATAGTTGCTCTAACTCTAAGCTTACAGATAATTACCAATCAGACTTTTACAAACACAGTTTCCAGAGGCTCTCCAAAAGTTATTAAAGACAAATTAATTCTTATGGCTCTCCCACTCATCTGGAAGCTACTGAGCATCAATAATCAGAAAGACAATCAGACAGAGTCACTGAGGTGGCAGGTACAGGCCAGACATTACCGGATAATGAATACACACAATTTCCTGACATAAATATTTAGCTCCAAAGATAACAAGCTACAATAGGAAAGCTACATTGACACTAAATCAAGTAAAATTCGAGGTTCTTCCTATAACCTCTCACTATAAATAACTCAGATAAGGGAGATGACAACCAACTCTCAGCTGTTGGACCCTGCCTCAGAAGCCACTGGCACGTCATCAGAACTAGTCTTCCTCACCATTAAAAAGGGATTAAATAGATTTAGAACTGCTCATAGAATTAAATGAATCATAATTTTTCAAACATGCTCTGATAGTTTGGTTTATGACTAGTAAAACTGGTGACTAACTTTGATTCTTTTAAGGGACTGCATTCAATCCATTCAATATTTTTAAACCTATATGTGTTTCTGCCTTAATTTTTTCTTAATTAAAGGGAAAATATAGGCCCTCCCTGGTGGCGCAGGGGGTTAAAGCACAGCACAAAGAAGTTTAAGCCACTTGCGCATGAGTTTGATCCCCGCCTGCCCTGGAGGAGATCCGCATGATGAGGCAGACCTCTCCTGACCCGTCTGCTGCTCCCCTCAGCAGTGTACTTCGTAGATCTGCCTGTTTGGTGCCCCACTCTGTCTCTGGTGAATCTTCTCACCCTCCGCATCTCTGGCCTGTACCCCAGTTCTGTACGAATAAATAAATTTTTAAAAAAAAAGGTATATGCAGTAAGTGTGCACATGAGAAGCAAAGAAAAATATCTTTATTCATAGTAAAGAAAAATGTCACAAGTCTTCAGAGAAATGCAAATTTTAAAAGATGAGATACCACAACACAGTCTCTAAAATGGCTAAAATTAAGACTGGCAAAAGCAAGTACTGACAGAAAAGTGCAGCATCAAACTCTCATATGCTCTTCCTGGGAAAGTAAATGATGCACCCACATTGGAAGACATCTCAAGTTTCTTATAAAGTTAAACAGACACTTACCATAGGTCCCAGCAATCAAATTCCTACCTTTTTAAAAAAGAAATGAAAACATATCCACACAGATAATGGGTACACCAGTGTTTACTATAACAGTCAAAAACTGGAAACACATCGAATATCCACAGGTGAGTGGGCAAGCAAATCATCATATACCTGAGCAATGATATTACTCAATAACAAAAAGAATGAATTAGTGATATATGAGTTAATTTCAGAACTATGCTGAGCAAAATGAAGCTGAAACAAACATACAGAATATATAAACCCCCGGAGTAGGCAAAACTCACTCGCTGGGACAGAAAGAGTATCACTGGCTGTCTGAGTCCAGGTGGGTAGAAAAGGACGGAAAGGAGTTTTGGAAATATCCTATGTCTTGATGTGATGGTGTTTAAGAGGTGAATACGTCTGTTAAAACCAAATTGAGCTCATGACTTTAAAAAGGTGCATTTCACTGCATGTAAAGTGTCACTCAATAAAGGCAAATTTTAAAATGTCATGGTCAAAGAACCGAAAACCTGAAGAACTACCCCAAATTAAAGGAGACTAAACAGATGTCACAACTAAATGTCGTGCATGATCCTGAAAGTGGAGAAGCCATTGATAAATGACATCATTGTGACAACTGACAAAATTTTAATATAGACTATAAGTGACATTAGTTCCAGATGACTTTATGTCATGATTTTGACCACTATACTGTTTAAGCAAGACCAAGTCCTATTTCTTGTAAATTATTTACACTAAGGGACATAATGGTCCCAATTTATTCCTGAAAGGATCAGCATGAAGAATAGTATAAAGCAGAAAGGGAGCAAAATATAAATGAACTGCAAGTCTAGAATGTTCTTTCTACTGTTGTATCAACTATTCAGTAAGTTTAGTACTCTGCAAAATAATTATTTTACAATGAGAGATAAACACTAGATGGGAGGAGGGAAAGATAACTGTTTTTTAGCCCTAAATACCAAAAGATATTAACATAATTTATGATATTGATAAGGAAAAGACCTAAGCTATAGGTCAGTGTTACAGTGTTGGGGTGGTTCAGGGAAAGAGATGGGTAACTGCTTCCAGAGACAAAATCTTCCTCTTCTCCAAGAAAGACAGTTAACATCTCTTCAATCACAGTTCCATGGAGCATTTTCTTCCTCTGCCAACTCATCTGTTTCTAAAGTGGATTAGGTCCCACAGGAAAAACATTAATTAGTAAGTGACCACAAGATGTAGCAGGTAGACAAATATCTGGCAAAATTCCATTTTTACTTTTTTCTCCTGTGTCTGTCTTGAAGCCAAGAAATCACGTTCATCTCACAGGTACAATGGTATTTACTATTGCACTCACTAGTATCCATTCTTGTTGAAGTTAAAAATGCACATTTTCCTCTTCCAGGAGGGAAATTGATTGCAATATTACTGTACAATGAAAAACATACATGGGCAACTTTAATGCTGAAGTTTACATTATACATCATAATTTTTTAAGTCTGTTGCCTAACAGCCTAGAATGTGGAAATGTTAGTCATAATTAATAACATTAATATACAGAGTTTCATTTGTGTGTAGCCCATCTCCTCTTTTATTCCACACTGAGCATCCACAAAATCAACTTCAATATTGCTATGAGAACATATATAGGCAATCTGCTTTTTTGTGCTTTTTTTTTTTTCACTAAAAATGATAGATTTAAAAAGGAACAGATACTTAATGTCTGTGACAGAGAACTGGTTGTGTGTGCACAGACCTTAACAGATAAAAATAGAATTGTAATGAGTCATGGATAAGATTGTCTAACTGATACTTTTGTTCCTTTTCATTCCCTGCTCAAAGCTAGTAGGGATCAACTAAAACAAAACAATTCATTGAAAAATGCTAAAAACCAGAACTTCCATTTCATCAAAGTAGTAGATTAAGTGCCAGAACTGTTCCTATAGAAAACAATTTTAATGCTGGATTAAAAAAATTTTTTCAAATCTTCTTGAATAATTTACAAAACAGCAAGTAGCAGGTTCAGATTCAAACTGAGGGTTAAGCAAAAGGGGAAGCAGAGATGTCAGTTCCTCTCTTAACTGAAGACATTGGCTGAGATTCTACCCAACTGAGATTCTAAATCGGACTGAGAAACACCGGATTGAGAAACAGGACAGACCTTCAGGCACCCCTCTCCCCTCCAGAAGGGTCCCAAACCTCAGGTTTAAGCAAGAGAAAAAGAAAAATCCCACTGAAGAATCCAAAATACAAATCATCCCTCAAGTAATTTGCATTTTCAGTATATTTAAGAATATTCCAGTCTACTACAGGAGAAAAGGAAACAAATTAGGGGAATACATCAAACTAAACAGCTGGAAGAAAGCATCAATGCGTTAGGTGTGTAACTCAGGGTATGTGTCACTAAAGGTACAGTAAGTAGAGGAGCAAGTGTGAGCTGAACACAGGAAAGAAAAAAAGAACCGAGAGACACTAATTGGCGTACTCAAAATATGCATGATGCGGGCACTTAACACTCCTGAGTTCTCAGAGACTTCACATGAAGGCCCTCTGTCCAAGAACTCAAGTTAAATCCACGGCTGCTCACTGTGGCCAGGTTTAAATGCTTCTGCATTTCCCAAACAGAGAAAATGTGCGTACCGACGCAAGAACCTCTGTCTTTTGGCTCCACTCACTCAGATTTGGTCCCACGAACCAGCTCATCAAGAGAGAAGGGTTACTCAGTAGATCAGGCCATGTAAACATGTAGTAAGGAATCCTTTACCCGAAGTGTGACAACGTAGCCCGTACCAAACAAGTGTAAGGAGCTCTCGCATTTCATTCCTCATGAACAGTGCTATGTGCTTAAAGCCGATTTAGCTAACCCTGCCACTGGAGCACCTAAACCCAGCCTGCAAGTCTTCCTGTCCTAGGACCTCCGGGGTAACTGGCCTCAGTACACTTGTAGGCTACTACTACATCAAGGTCATTTCTGTTCACAACTTGCGGAAGTTTGCAGCCCAGAATTTAGAATTAAACGTATTCATGGAATCCAGCAAAATCAAATACTTGAAGAAGTCACTCTCATCTTAGTCCTCCATTTCCACATCAGCTCAGAAAGAAAAAAGAATAACTAAACACTACAAAGGAAATGGCATCATAAACAAAAGCCAGCAGGAACAAGCTTAAACCCACAAATAATAAAATTATCAGATACCAACTATAAATGTTTCACATCTTTAAAGAAATAAAAGACAGCTCAAAATATGATTAGCTAGAAAAAGATAGTTGAAATATCAAAGAGTTCTTAGGAGTATAATGGTTAAGATTTTTAAATAGTCCTTAAACAGTGTAACAGCATATAATAATAAAGGTAAGCCAAGAGTTTACAAAATATGATACTTCAAAATAGAACTAAAGTAAAGGAATATGTGTGTGTTCACATGATGTATTTATATTTTAAAATAACATACTGTGCAAAATAATTTTTAAAAGTTCAAAATTCTCATTTGTGGTTTATTATGGTAAAATCACAATGGTTCGGTTGCTTTATATCATGATTTGTTTCATTTTGTGAAGCTCACAAAATATACTTCTGAGCATGGGTTAAGCAACACAATTTTATATCATTAACAACTCTGTATAACGCTTCTGTTCCTTCTTAACTATAGTGCTTCCCAATGTTTGATTAAACTATAATGTATTTTAAAATATAGTTTTAATTTAACTATTTTACTGTAACAACAAATAATTTTATGATATGAAGCAACTATTAGATTTGGATTTAATTCTGCATATTTTTCCTAACTGATAAATAGATATTTTAAAATGAGTTAAGCTCTTTAAATAAGAGGCTTTTCAGATAGACTCTTTCTAACCCCAACACTAATGTCAGTGTTTGAACACAATCCAGAGACTTACCATCGGGATGCGTCACTGTCAATCCATTCCCATTTTTCGTACCAGTTATTATATGATAATCCAATCCAGTAGTTATATGGGCATATCTGTGATCGAATAAAGGTCTACAAAGGAAACAAAGCAAAGGTGACCAAGTTCCCATCTGCTAAATGAATGAAGAGGATACGGTAGGTGAAAGGGCCAGCAGACTCTAGGGCCTTCTCTTCCCTCTCCACATCTTCCTTCATCCCCCTGTCCTGGAAAACCCTTCACCACTTAATCCCTATAGTTTCAGTCTCCCTGACCATTGATGTTAAAAATAGCTGCTAGGTCCTCCCTGGTGGCGCAGCGGGTTAAAGCACTGCACTGAGAAGCTAAAGCCACTTCTGCATGAGTTCGATCCCTGCCTGCCCGGAGGTGACCACATGGTGTGGCAGACCTCTCCTGACCCGCCCGCTGCTCCCCTCAGCAGTGTACTTCGTTGATCTGCCTGTTCTGCTCCCCACTCTGTCTCTGGTGAATCCTCTCACCCTCTGCATCTCTGGCCTGTACCCCATTTCTATATGAATAAATAAATAAATCTTTAAAAAAAAATAGCTGCTAGCCACATAAATTATTTAAAACATGGAAAACTTTTAAATCTAAGTATGTAACAATAGGAGATCTGTGCAATAACTTCACACCTTATGAAACCATTCAAAACCATGCCCCAGGAAAAAAGTTAAGTATACAGAAAAATTATCACTGTATATCCCTAAGTGAAAAAAGGGGTCTTCAAAACAAATTTAATTAGAAGGATATGAAGGGAGGTCTATATTAGCCTTTACCCTCAGAAGAAAGTCTTGCTACAGTTCAGTAGCTGAAGGGGATGAAGAGAAATTGGTAGAATTTGGGGGTACTTACTAGGTCCAACACAATAAACTGGTCAAAGGATATTTGACATAAAGTTTGATTAAATGATAGAACATAATTTAAATACAGGTTTAAATTTAACTGTTTTATTACAACAATGTAAATTCTTTTATGTTGTAATATAAAACATCAACTAGATTGCACGTAAATTTTGTGTTGTTTTCCTAAATGATAGATGTTTCAGGCTTATCTATGCAATCATTTCAGCATAAAATACATTCTGTGTGTATATAATTATTTTAAGTAATAAATTGGAGATAATTCTGATATCACTGTATTTTTTTAAAGATTTATTTATTTATGCTTACAGAACTAGGGTGCAGGCACCAGAGATCAGGGGCAGTGAGAGGATTCACCAGAGACAGAGTGGTGAGCAAAACAGGCCGAGTGACAAACTACACTGCCCAGGGGAGCAGCAGGTGGGTCAGAAGAGGTCTGCCACACCATGTGGGTCACCTCCTTGGCCAGGAATCAAACTCATGCTGCAGTGGTTTCGAAGAGCTTCATAATGCGGTGCTTTAATCCATTTCACCACTGGGGAGGGTCCTATTTTTACTTTTTAAAATTGTTTTGGAAGTCATGTACTATCTTAATGTAGCATAGCAAATATTTGATGATGTGTTGTTACCTACAGATGCAATGGAACTCACCATTTGGCCAGTTGGTAAAACTGTTACCAATATTATGGTCCATTATTTCCATTTTTCAGATGAGGAAATTGATGCCTAAGGGAAAGTAATTTATCCATATTCATCCAACTAAGAAGTGGCAAAGCTGACTTGACCCCGGCCATCTGATTCCTAGATTCCTATAGTAACTACTAGATTATGTGTCTCGGGATCCTGATATGACACCCCAGAAAGGAACAATGGTTTCAAGCCCATTCACCAAAGGATTAAGTATCTCCAAAGGAAAAGTATTTTTCTCTGTGAGTGGTTCTCCTAAAGACTCCTTAGAAAGGAAGATGATTGTAAATACCCAAAGTGGATCTTCAATATTTCTATTGTTGAACTAATAATGGTCATCATGATAAATAAGTACATACTGAATGTTCAATAAGTAGCAAGACTGTATGCCTATTACAGGCAGGACTCCCATGGGAGAATCTTAACTATACAAGTGTTGCTCACTCAATAGTCATGAAACCAAAAATAACTGAAGATATCTGATTATAGACTCCTCCACTTCCATCCCATCCTCAATCCCTTGAATCCAAAACTGGGAGCAAGTTTAAAAGAATAAAAGTGAACATAAGTGGACTCATGATACCAGCTCATCATCATCATCTATCTTCAAAAGGGATGATCCATAATTTTCACAAGTCTGTTTACAACGGTACCAGTCTTGACTTTCAGTGATAAAGTAGTAGCAGCTGACTCCAAGACATGACCAGTACCCATTCCCGAGTATGCCTACAACAAACACATAAAGGTAAAGGTAAAACATTAAAACATTCTTGTCATAGGCTATTCTGTTAAGCAGAATAATTAAGTAAAATCTTAATAGCTATCAATAATGATAAGACAAGGTTTGTATCAAGATTCCAGAATGTTAAGATACCTCACCCCTGTCTTCATTGTAACAATATTCACAAAAGCCAAGAACTCAAGTGAACATCAACAGATTAACCAATGGAGATGGTATAGTACATACAGTGGGATATTATTCAGTCTTAAAAAGAAGGAAATCTGCCATCTACCATGGCATATTCCATGAACCTTAAGGACAGTGTGATTAATTAGATACACCAGTCACAGAAGGATTAATACAGCATGACTCCACATATGTGAGCTATGAGAGACAGTCACACTCAGAGAAACAGAAAGTAGAACAGTGGTTGCCAGGGTTATGAGGGAAAGGAGCTCAGTTGTAGAACCCAATCTAGACTAGAGATCTGCAGTACACCATGGGGGCTAGAGCTAATGATGTTGAATTGTGCATTTTAAAAACTTACTAAAGGGTAGATCTCGTGTTCACTGTTAATTACCATTAAAAAAAAGTCTTGAGGTGGCCCTCCCTGGTGGCGCAGTGGGTTAAAGCACTGCACTGAGAAACTAAAGCCACTTCCGCATGAGTTCGATCCCCGCCTGACACAGAGGTGACCACATGGCGTGGCAGACCTCTCCTGACCCGCCCGCTGCTCCCCTTAGCAGTGTACTTCGGCCATCTGCCTGTTCTGTGCCCCACTCTGTCTCTGGTGAATCCTCTC